CTCTCTCTCTCTCTATCTATATATATATCTCTATATATATATATATATATATATATATATATATGTCAGAACCCAACCTCTATTCGTTTGCCGTACTGAGCCTGTAACACATGCTAGGTGTTTGAGGACATAGCTGGGTGCAAACAAGGCAAAAAACAATTATAGTAGAAATCTGTGAAAGAAAGAATAGGTCATCCTTCATCTTGGAAAAGATAATCCACAAATGGAAAGCCCTTTCCAGGAATGTGTTTAAAAAAAAAAACAGTCATGGAAGACTAGAGATGATAAGACCTAAATTGGAGAAGGCTTTCAGAGGAAAAAGGCTCCAGCAAGAGACAGCCCCAGAATAAGAACTGCAGCCTCCCCCTCTCCCCAAATCCCTCCCGAATAGTACACTTTGGGGCCACTCTTCAACCTCTGTGCAACCGAGTTTTATTTTAGCCCACAGGAACCCTGGTTTCTGGCAGTGGGCACTGCAAAGACAGGTTACAGGCTGAACACCTCACAACAGAGACAGTAGTATTCTCTCTAGGATAAAAAGGGCTTGTGTTTAATCCTCTGTAGGGGCAGCGGGGAAATGTCTCTGGGAATCCAAGTCTGTGGAACCCACTTAGCAGAGAGATGTGGCTTTACAGGCAAACAACACGGCATAGAGAGAGGAACCTGGCCAATTCTGTCTTATAAGAGTAGTTATGTTATGTGTTGCAAGGTCTCCACATTCCAAGGATTTGTGAGCTCAGATGGTATCTTGTTTGTCCGGGCCTGCATGACCCCATTTATCTAAAAAATACTAACTTCCTAGTTTGTAATTTATAATCCTGCGCCCCCACCCAGACCCCCGCCATGCGCTCTCTCTGTTATTCAGTCTCTCAGGTTAAAGCCCTGCTCAAGAGTTCAGCTGTGGACCAGTTATTCTCTCTGGCTATTTCCTCATCTATTGCCTTAGAGGCATAATAATAATACCTGAGATAATTATGAGCATACAATGAGACAATGTGTCCATAGGAGCATCTCTAAGATCAGGACAGTGTGTTCTTGCTCATGAAATAGGGAGGATTTATGTTAAAGCAAGCTATGAGAATGCAGTTTAATACTTGACAAATGTTAAGTTTAAAAAAAAAATCACAACTCGCTGGAATCTCTTCTTCTCTCTGGTGATTGGAGAACTCGCCCAGGTTTGGGAAAAGTTAGCCAGCTCCTGCAAAACACCTCCTTCCCCATCCCTCCCCGCGCCCCCTACGACCAGGCATAAAGGGTGGGAAGGGGAGCACAGCTCAGCATTTATTTCTGGATCCAGCTCACTAAAAATACCTCGGCCCTCCTGTTGGATCACTCTCCCTTTTGGCCTGAATGGATCGCAGGAGACGCGCCGCCCGCCCCACCCTCGGCCCGTTGCCCTTTAAAGGAAAAGGGAGGGGGACGGATTCTTGCCGCTCTAGGGACACGGGGCAGGCAGGGGCCGCGGCCTTGCTGACGTCAGAGCTGCTAGCGCTCAGCTCTGCTCGCTGCCTCCTTGCAGAGACCGCCTGGAGGGAGGGGGACAGCCTCGTGCTGGGATTGGCTGGCCTCGCGCGAGCGCCGGCGCGGATTGGCTGGCGAGGTTTTAGAGGGAGTCCCGCTCTCCAATTAAAGCGGTCCGGCTGCGCCAAACTGCACACAGAGCTCCCCCCGGGCCCGCGAACTTGGCCATTCAGCCGCCTCTGTCCCCGCTGTGTGCCCTCGCGCCTCTGCCTGAGAAGCCAGGCGCTGTTCCTCCACCCCAGAAGAGGATGGCAAAGGTGGCTAAGGACCTCAACCCAGCAGTTAAAAAGGTGAGCGGAAAGTTGTCCGTATTTACCCAGATTCTTTCTTTTCCTTGTTTCCCCTTCCCATCTGTTGGCAGAAACTTCCCAAAAGGTAATGGGAAGGAAACTCTTTAAATTCCAAAACTGCATGGAAAACAAGTAGTTGGGAATATATGTTTGAGCTAACAGGCACACACACCCCAAACCCATTGTTGTGTAAAATAATTTTCAAAGGGTCTTATGTCTTTGGTGATGCTAGTTAAAATTAACTGGTAATCTTATGGTCTGTAAAGGAAAAATCCCTAGCTTCCTCACTCCCTGTCCTCAAGTGGCTGAAGTAAGGGTTGGGGGCATGTAATATTTACTCATAGTCTCCCTTTTGCTATTATCCCTGTGTTTTGTGTGTTTCCCCCAATACACACACACACACACACACACATAGAGTTTCTTTAGTTGGTGATGTTGGCAGTGGCAGCAGTTCCAGCATAAGGGAACTGATTTCTGTCCCCAGGGTCTGCACATTTCCCTTTCAAGAAGGGCTGGCCTGGAGCCCAGAAGGTCACTGGTAAACTCCTGCACAGGAGCCTGCGGCTGTGCCTATAGCTCCAATATCCTTTGTTGCTAACCTGAATGCAGCTGGGAGAGGGCACAGGCTGCAGACTTAGAGAACATGTGAACAGGAAGGGAACAGAGAGACAACCTAGGCTTTACAGATGGGGAAACTGAGGCCCAGGGTCACAGAGAGTTGGTCCCAGCAAGCAGCTGACCTTAAGGAAAATCCTAGGCATCCAGACTCAGTCCCTGCCACTTTTTAACTGCACAGTACTCGCCAGGTCACTTTTTTGAGCCCCAGTTTCCTTGTCTCTGATGTGGGGATGATAGGCCTAACCCCCCTCACAGCAGTGGTAGCAGGGATATTGACACTGACTTAGTTTCCCAAAGCAGTAATTGTTAAACTCAGATTTCACAGGATTTAGTCTTGCAGGGCAAAGACTTCCTTAAACATCTGCCGTTAACGTGCCGGGTAGAATGAGAGAGGGGAAAAAGACTGTGAGAATCAAACTAAAGACGCAAACTGCCACTTGGAGGCACAGCATTCCCCATCTAATTTGTAGCTGTGCTCTTCTACAGACAATCTGCCCAGATCCTGTCACAGAGTCCTGCGGATCCTTCTACATGTGTATCAAGTCACATTGAATCTGGGCATTTCTCTGGAATGTATCATGCCTCATTGTATTTGCCAGGCTATTTGCAGAATCAAGTCATTTACCTTTCTACAGAAATTATTGTAGCACTTTAGACGCTTAGAAGATGCCTATTAATTTCTACCTAGTAGTGAGTTATGCATGCAATACTTTTATTTCTCTATACATTTTTCTGGACTCCTTGAGGGCAAACCTGCCTTGCTCATCTCTGTCCCAACATAGCATACTATGCCACACACGCACTACTAAAAAACCTATGACTGAGCCACGAGAATGTCTAGCTAAGACCACACTGTTTGCATAGGCTTCATTTTATGCATTATTATTTTTTAACTTGTAGCGCTGATATTTGTGTGTCTGAACTGCCTCCCCAAGTTCAGATACAGAATAGTTCAGGGCTAAAGGTGGCAGAGTTTCATTGTCCTCTGGAAAGTGAAATAATTCTGAGTATTTTAAATATAAGCTGGTTGATGGTTGCTGCATGAAGTGAGATGAGGTATATGAAAACTCCCCCTCCTCACCGCAGGCCTGGCTTGCCACTTAGAGGAAGCCTTGTTTTTATTTTCCTTTGCATAGGGGAGTGTGATTATCCTGATTAGAGGTAGAACATGTTCTCCTTCTTGTCACCCTCTAGTGCCAACTTCCTTGGCCTGCAAAGGGTTTGTTTTCCATTTAGATCCAATTACAGAGAAAGAATGTGGTGGGTAGAGATGAAAGGGCAGATTTTTTTTTTCTTTTTTTACCTCTTGAGACTGCCATAATCAGGAGGAAGATCACCATTATGTAGATTAACCAGTGCCTTCAACGCAAAAAGTAGAAGGAAGAGAAGAGAGTGGAGAAGCTCACCTTGCTGGACTGAATGTCACAGAAGTGTTTAAGTACTATGGGATATCAGCAGCATGCTGAAAAGGTTTTATTGCATATTTACTTTTTAAATCTGCAACAGTGAGGGGGGGGTTATAACATTTGGCTTCAGGATGCATAATCACACTTAGACATTTTGAAACAATTTCATAGACTCTTAGAGCTACAAGGGACCTATTTACAAAATGAGAAATGGTTTAAAACGGCATACAGTCTGTCTCCATTGCCCTACCCCCAAGGGTGTTGGGGCAGGAATCCCCACCAACTGGAATAAAAAGATCTTCAGCAGAGAATATAAAATCTAAAAACTAGAGTAGACTTAAAGGTCATCTAACCAACCCCAGACAGGCTGGGGAAAAACTCACTAGGGACCACATACATACATCGTGGCAGAGCATAGAAGTTCCCCAACTTCTCTCTTCCTTGCTAAGTAAAATACTGCCACTGGCTACTCTTGAACTATCTTTTTTTTTTTTTTTTCTATTGGGAAAGAGAAAGTTTCCTGGCACAGACAGTTCCCTGAGAATGGTGAAATTGCCAGCATTTCTTGGTAACAAAGGGCCTTGAAGGTCAAATGCAATTTTTCTTGGTGAAACCAATCTCGACTATGGATTTGTTCTTCTTCTTTATTAAGAATGCAAGTTATTAGTGCAGGCTTTGGCTTCAGATCTGGTTTAAGTCCCAGCTCCACCACTTACTAGCTGCGTGCTCTTGGGCATGCTAATTAACTTTGAATCTGTGTTCTCACCTCATTTGCAAGTTGAAGAAACAGTAACAGCATCTGCTTCCCAAGGTGGCTGTGATAATTAAGTGAGATGATGGATGTAAAGGCTCAGGCATATGAGCACTTAAAGTTAGCCACTGCAGTCCTGGGTCATGGTGGTACATTTCAGTAAGTGCATGGATGCTAAAAGGAGTGTTTTGGTGAATGAAGGACACTTTTATTTATAACTGCCCCATATGAAGAACACCCAACTTTCATGCAGGTGAACCTCAGTCATTGCTCGGCTTTGACAAGCTAAGACAATGACCAAATGCTATTGCCTTCATTCTCACCCAACGGATGCAAAATCTGCTTACGTAGAATGCTCTTTCCTTCTGAACGTAGACTGCCAGTTATTGAGCATTTCACTTTGGATTTCTATAATTTTGGGCCTGGAAGGGGACTTGGAGCTCCTTACTTTTTAGATAAGGAAACTGAGGCCCAGAGGGATCAAGCTCCTTATCAGAGGTTGCAGAGAAAATGTACTGAAGCCTTTTAGGCTCTGCAAGAATACAGACCCCTTGACTGTCAAGGAGCCATCTGCAGGAATTTAGAAGGGACTAGAAGAAAGAGAGCTAAGAGCCTGTTCATGGTTGACTGAGCAGTCACCAGTGGGCTAGCTCCGTCGGGGCCAATTAGAAATTCTCACCCCTCAGGCCGGGCGCGGTGGCTCAAGCCTGTAATCCCAGCACTTTGGGAGGCCGAGGCGGGTGGATCACGAGGTCAAGAGATCGAGACCATCCCGGTCAACATGATGAAACCCCATCTCTACTAAAAATACAGAAAATCAGCTGGGCATGGTGGCGTGTGCCTGTAATCCCAGCTACTCAGGAGGCTGAGGCAGGAGAATTGCCTGAACCCAGGCGGCGGAGGTTGCGGTGAGCCGAGATCGCGCCATTGCACTCCAGCCTGGGTAACAAGAGCGAAACTCCGTCTCAAATAAAAAAAAAAAGAAAAAAGAAATTCTCACCCCTCAACATGATGCCCAGGGGGCATTAAATGATGTTACTTCTAAGTGCTTTGCCAGGTCCAACTGGGTGTCTCCCTCCATGCTTCTCTACATCACATCCCTCTTGGCTTTCCTGTCCTTCAGGCTAGGCCTTCCCTCTGTACTCAGCCCTTCCTGCTTTCACCTCCACTTCCTGCAGTGTGCAAAACTGCTGGCACGTCACCCAGTGAGCCGATCCAATGTAAACATGGCTCCTTTAGAATTGTCGTTGGCTCCCTCAATCTTAAAAACATATTAAACTGTCACTTAAAGACCTTAATAGCTAAGACATTGGAGACATGCCCATAGGTGTATAAGCAACTTGTCCCAAAACACAGCCTTATTTTTTAAAAACAGAAATAAATTATCCAAGTCCCTTTTAGAGGCTCTCTAAAACCAGATGCTGAAACTATTATTTTGTAAGCTACAGATTTTTGTCCTAACCTGTGGGTGTGTCTGTCTATGTGGAGTTGGGGGCTGACAGTTGACTTTCACCAATGTATCTGCCACTGTCGTAGTGGCAGGCAGGGAAGAGCTTCATTCGATTATCACCAGGCTTTAAGCTAAGCCATCTCAGCTCCAAGACTAGGAATTAGTTCAGAGCTTACCAACACTCCTACGAGTGGGAAAGTGGAAAAATGACTTTGGCATTCCCCTCTGACGATGCTTGGTTTGATCTTCTCTTGATGCTAACTGACCAAAGGTGACAAGGATGAAAAAAGAATAGGCTAAATTCAGCAAAGGCTGGGGACCACGAAGGAGGAGCTGTGCACAGGCTTTTGTGTATCTTTCTTTCTGCCCTTACACAGGCCACTTCCTGAGAGGAAAAGGTGAACAGTAGAGAAGTAAGGGAATAATAGTTCCTCTCACAACCCACTGGAGCCGAGAGGGCTCCAGGAGAAGTATTCAATTTGACTTAAAAAAGGTAAATCGTCCTTTCTTTTCAACTTGCACATTCAAAATAGTTTGTGTCTTATAAAGTGGAGATTTGCCATGATAAGTAACAGACCTTGAGAGCTCTTATCTCCCAACCATTCATCCAACACCATTTAAATCTTTATTTTAAGAACAGATTTCTGGCAGTGGGGTGAATCATTATAATAACTGCAGGCACTTACTCACAGGGTAACTTTGGACAGGTCACCTTTCGTAGGAAGTGGCAGAATTTGGATAAGAACCAGGCTTCCTTCTGCCTCCAGCCCACTGA